CGCCACCCAGGACAGCTTCCTTGGCACCCAGGAGCAGCCGGCTCTGGGGTGGAGAGTGGGGACAGCCGCCTGTCCCGCTGCCTGGGGCCGAGATGCAGCTAGCTCTGGGGTGGGGGGCAGCCACACATAACGCCACCCAGGACAGCTTCCTTGGCACCTTAAAGGGGATGTCGGGGGGAATTCAAGGGAACGTTGAGGGAATTAAAGGGGATGTCGGGGGGAATTCAAGGGAACGTTGAGGGAATTAAAGGGGATGTCGGGGGGAATTCAAGGGAACGTTGAGGGAATTAAAGGGGATGTCGGGGGGAATTCAAGGGAACGTTGAGGGAATTAAAGGGGATGTCGGGGGGAATTCAAGGGAACGTTGAGGGAATTAAAGGGGATGTCGGGGGGAATTCAAGGGAACGTTGAGGGAATTAAAGGGGATGTCGGGGGGAATTCAAGGGAACGTTGAGGGAATTAAAGGGGATGTCGGGGGGAATTCAAGGGAACGTTGAGGGAATTAAAGGGGATGTCGGGGGGAATTCAAGGGAACGTTGAGGGAATTAAAGGGGATGTCGGGGGGAATTCAAGGGAACGTTGAGGGAATTAAAGGGGATGTCGGGGGGAATTCAAGGGAACGTTGAGGGAATTAAAGGGGATGTCGGGGGGAATTCAAGGGAACGTTGAGGGAATTAAAGGGGATGTCGGGGGGAATTCAAGGGAACGTTGAGGGAATTAAAGGGGATGTCGGGGGGAATTCAAGGGAACGTTGAGGGAATTAAAGGGGATGTCGGGGGGAATTCAAGGGAACGTTGAGGGAATTAAAGGGGATGTCGGGGGGAATTCAAGGGAACGTTGAGGGAATTAAAGGGGATGTCGGGGGGAATTCAAGGGAACGTTGAGGGAATTAAAGGGGATGTCGGGGGGAATTCAAGGGAACGTTGAGGGAATTAAAGGGGATGTCGGGGGGAATTCAAGGGAACGTTGAGGGAATTAAAGGGGATGTCGGGGGGAATTCAAGGGAACGTTGAGGGAATTAAAGGGGATGTCGGGGGGAATTCAAGGGAACGTTGAGGGAATTAAAGGGGATGTCGGGGGGAATTCAAGGGAACGTTGAGGGAATTAAAGGGGATGTCGGGGGGAATTCAAGGGAACGTTGAGGGAATTAAAGGGGATGTCGGGGGGAATTCAAGGGAACGTTGAGGGAATTAAAGGGGATGTCGGGGGGAATTCAAGGGAACGTTGAGGGAATTAAAGGGGATGTCGGGGGGAATTCAAGGGAACGTTGAGGGAATTAAAGGGGATGTCGGGGGGAATTCAAGGGAACGTTGAGGGAATTAAAGGGGATGTCGGGGGGAATTCAAGGGAACGTTGAGGGAATTAAAGGGGATGTCGGGGGGAATTCAAGGGAACGTTGAGGGAATTAAAGGGGATGTCGGGGGGAATTCAAGGGAACGTTGAGGGAATTAAAGGGGATGTCGGGGGGAATTCAAGGGAACGTTGAGGGAATTAAAGGGGATGTCGGGGGGAATTCAAGGGAACGTTGAGGGAATTAAAGGGGATGTCGGGGGGAATTCAAGGGAACGTTGAGGGAATTAAAGGGGATGTCGGGGGGAATTCAAGGGAACGTTGAGGGAATTAAAGGGGATGTCGGGGGGAATTCAAGGGAACGTTGAGGGAATTAAAGGGGATGTCGGGGGGAATTCAAGGGAACGTTGAGGGAATTAAAGGGGATGTCGGGGGGAATTCAAGGGAACGTTGAGGGAATTAAAGGGGATGTCGGGGGGAATTCAAGGGAACGTTGAGGGAATTAAAGGGGATGTCGGGGGGAATTCAAGGGAACGTTGAGGGAATTAAAGGGGATGTCGGGGGGAATTCAAGGGAACGTTGAGGGAATTAAAGGGGATGTCGGGGGGAATTCAAGGGAACGTTGAGGGAATTAAAGGGGATGTCGGGGGGAATTCAAGGGAACGTTGAGGGAATTAAAGGGGATGTCGGGGGGAATTCAAGGGAACGTTGAGGGAATTAAAGGGGATGTCGGGGGGAATTCAAGGGAACGTTGAGGGAATTAAAGGGGATGTCGGGGGGAATTCAAGGGAACGTTGAGGGAATTAAAGGGGATGTCGGGGGGAATTCAAGGGAACGTTGAGGGAATTAAAGGGGATGTCGGGGGGAATTCAAGGGAACGTTGAGGGAATTAAAGGGGATGTCGGGGGGAATTCAAGGGAACGTTGAGGGAATTAAAGGGGATGTCGGGGGGAATTCAAGGGAACGTTGAGGGAATTAAAGGGGATGTCGGGGGGAATTCAAGGGAACGTTGAGGGAATTAAAGGGGATGTCGGGGGGAATTCAAGGGAACGTTGAGGGAATTAAAGGGGATGTCGGGGGGAATTCAAGGGAACGTTGAGGGAATTAAAGGGGATGTCGGGGGGAATTCAAGGGAACGTTGAGGGAATTAAAGGGGATGTCGGGGGGAATTCAAGGGAACGTTGAGGGAATTAAAGGGGATGTCGGGGGGAATTCAAGGGAACGTTGAGGGAATTAAAGGGGATGTCGGGGGGAATTCAAGGGAACGTTGAGGGAATTAAAGGGGATGTCGGGGGGAATTCAAGGGAACGTTGAGGGAATTAAAGGGGATGTCGGGGGGAATTCAAGGGAACGTTGAGGGAATTAAAGGGGATGTCGGGGGGAATTCAAGGGAACGTTGAGGGAATTAAAGGGGATGTCGGGGGGAATTCAAGGGAACGTTGAGGGAATTAAAGGGGATGTCGGGGGGAATTCAAGGGAACGTTGAGGGAATTAAAGGGGATGTCGGGGGGAATTCAAGGGAACGTTGAGGGAATTAAAGGGGATGTCGGGGGGAATTCAAGGGAACGTTGAGGGAATTAAAGGGGATGTCGGGGGGAATTCAAGGGAACGTTGAGGGAATTAAAGGGGATGTCGGGGGGAATTCAAGGGAACGTTGAGGGAATTAAAGGGGATGTCGGGGGGAATTCAAGGGAACGTTGAGGGAATTAAAGGGGATGTCGGGGGGAATTCAAGGGAACGTTGAGGGAATTAAAGGGGATGTCGGGGGGAATTCAAGGGAACGTTGAGGGAATTAAAGGGGATGTCGGGGGGAATTCAAGGGAACGTTGAGGGAATTAAAGGGGATGTCGGGGGGAATTCAAGGGAACGTTGAGGGAATTAAAGGGGATGTCGGGGGGAATTCAAGGGAACGTTGAGGGAATTAAAGGGGATGTCGGGGGGAATTCAAGGGAACGTTGAGGGAATTAAAGGGGATGTCGGGGGGAATTCAAGGGAACGTTGAGGGAATTAAAGGGGATGTCGGGGGGAATTCAAGGGAACGTTGAGGGAATTAAAGGGGATGTCGGGGGGAATTCAAGGGAA